TGTGAGCTTGAGACCAGCCTAGGCTACAATGTGAGCTCAAGGCCAGCCTGAACTGCATAGCAAGACCTTGTCTCAAAAAGACAGAAAAAAAATGAAGAAAATTTTATTTTTTTGTTTGTTTTTTTTCTGTTTTTCTTCTGGTACCAGGAATCAAACACAAGACCTTGTGCTTGCCAGGCAGGCACTTTGCCGCTGAGCTAAATCCCCAGCCCCAAAAAATATTTTAACAGAAAAACAAGTGCTTATAACTTCGCTAAATTATTATATGAAATATGTTGCTTTCAACATCTTTAAATTTTTATTGTATTCCATTATGTGTCATGGAAAACATACATGTAGACCTTATTTTTAATCCTTTATTGTAAAAAGGTTTTGACTTTATAAAGAATTTTATTAGTTTATCTTTTGCACGGTGTCAACGTTTATTTGTGCCCATCCTGTTGCCTTTCATTCCACTAGACCAACTTAGAATATCTCAGAATCCATCTCAAAATTTAATCTTCTATTTTTAAATTTAATCTTCTTAAAAAATTTAATCTTAAAAGAACATTTAAAATTTTATTGCTTAGTTTTGAACACTGAAAGTGTATCTTTCATCCAATTTATTAAAAGAAAAAACACATTTCTGCCTGCTTATTCCCTGGGTCTTCATTTTAGAATCATTTAAAGAGTTTTATGCAGAATGGTTTACTGAATATCTACTGTAGTTCTCCCTAGGAAAATGAATCTTCTGTAATTGAAGAAATCTACACAAAGAGTTAGGGACATAATTCCAATTAACACTGTGCAGATGCAGACAGGATGTGCATGTTTGTGCTTCAGTATTAACTAATTCTGCTTTAATTTGATTAATTAATCATTGATTGGTCCTACTTTATTATAGAAATGGAGAAAAAATTGGAACTTGAGCACTTCTTTCCTATGATGTTTAAGAATGTATTTACACTGTATGCAGAATGTCAGGTACATGTCCTGTTTAACAACTGAATTCATTAAGGATATTTCACATTATTTTGTTAGAAGTAACTGGCATTTGTTCA